TGACGAAGCCTCCAAATGCCTCGTGAAACACATTATCGCCAGTGAGACCGATTTACTGCAGTCGGTGGAACCAGATGTTGTAAAACCTCAGATGAATTCTTCCAAAATACCTAGCTGTTCTGCTTGCCTTAAGTTCTAATTTTCTCTATATTTTTTTTGGTCTTCTTTGGAACTGTTGTTAAATAAAAATCCAATAAAGCGTTGCGGTTGCAGTAACTGTTCGGAATGATGACTCATCTCTCATAGGAATTGTCACAGAATGGATCAAGGTCGTGTTTTGTCAGTTTTCAGGAGACAAAACACCTTTCACTAACTGAGTTCCAAGGTAATACGCCATAGCCAACAAATACAACTTTCAGAATAAAAGCTTTCTGGAGAGGTCCAATCATCAAAAAAAACCTTTAAGCGCCACCTTCAGGACATGGTTAGGAAGAGCAAAGTATAAAACAATATAGTGTTTAGAGATCATGTTGCACTGTAGAGTAAAAAATGTTTATATTTATCTATTTATTTATGTATTATTATTATTATTATTACAGGTATCTATACAGAACTCTCAATGTATGCAGCACTGTACATATTATTCACTCACATCAGTTCACATCATTCACCTGCCCGCAAGGAGCTTACAATCTAAGGTCCCTATGTCACACACATACATACAGGGCCAATTTTAGACAGGAGCCAATTGACCTACTAGCATGTCTTTGGAGTGTGGGAGGAAACTAGACGTGTGCGATTTGTTTCGTTCGGAAGCAAAATGCGGACAAATTTTCTGAAATTCGGACACATCCAAATTTCTGAATCCAGAAAGCCATGTGAATGTGTCCGAATCCGAATTTCCGTTTCTGAATTTCGGATCCCTTCCGAATTTCATTCAAAAACTAAACTGAATGGGACATGTGACTTTCCTGGCCAACCAGATGTGTTTTTTGGTTTAATGCATTCAAATGGGTCTGAATACGAATTTTCGTTTTGTATATGGGAGCCATATACAGTATATACATATAATACTAAAGCTGAGGCTCCTAGATCTGAATGGCATTCGGTATCCGAATTTCCGAATTGCATTCGGGGGGCTCCTGAATGCCTTTCGGGTCTGGGAGCCTCAGCTTTAGTAATATATGTATATGGCTCCCAGACCCGAATGGCATTCGGCATTCAAATTTCCAATATGCATTCAGGAGCCCCCGAATTTCCGGGTGAACGTCCCCTCCTTTGTCTGCCGGCGTCCATCACAAAGATGGCTGCCGGCAGGTATCACCTAGATGACTGCGCAGGCGTGATGACATCATCGACGTCACGCGCATGCAAGATGATGTTACGGTGGGGTGTCACCGGGTATCCACTCCGGATCATGCCTGGCCTTGGGACGCCCCTGTCTGGGAGCCATATACAAGCTGAGTCTCCCTGCCCCGAATGGCATTCAGATCTAGGACCCTCAGCTTTAGTATTAATATCTGTATATGGTTTTCTGTAGGGATGCACAGATACTTTTCGAGTATCAGTGCCGATACTTGGCATTTTCACAAGAACTACCAGGGTTGCAGCGGTTGTAGCTGGGACCTGGCTCTGGTGCTCCACCACTGTCCTGAAATCATTAGTCTGTATTGTTTTAGAAAAACTGTCACATGACAATAAACAAAAATGTATCAGTACTTCTACTCACAAAACTTGTATCGGTAGATCCCTATATTTATATTTATAAAAATAAAATCATACATTACAACACATGTACAAATCCCAGGAGCCCCGTGTGCTTCTTACAAATGACAGCGGCCTCCTAACCTTTGAGTTTTTCTCTAGTCTTGGAGCTCGAAAAGTATCTGTACTTGTTATCGGTGCATCCCTAGTTTTCTGTGTTATTCGCAACAATTATTCGTAAACTCATCCGAAACTAACGGAATTCAGATTTTGTCCGAATCCAAAATCTGAACCAAATAGAATTTCAGATCCGAATCCCAAAATAACGAAATATCCAAACCGAACTTATCCGCAGCTTATCCGCAGCTTACATGCAGGGCCGGATTTCCCACAAGGCCAACCAAGGCCCGGCCTTGGGGCAGCAGGGAGTAGAGGGGCAGCAGGGGTGTGGAATTGCTATCTCACGATGCCTGGGACATGCAGTTTCAGGCGTCGGGCGGGTAGTTGTTTTCTACATTGAGCCCTGCTTTGGGCAAGCAGAGCAAAATGTACAGTGGGGAAGCCACCAATTGTTTTGTACAAATGATCCTGGCGATGTCGCCGAGATCACTTGTATGCAGCCTGCAGGTCTGCCATTCTCCACTCCACTCTCAGTCAACTAATTCCGCTGCCTGTGTCCTAGCAATCTTCGATTGCTAGGACACAGGCAGGTTCGGTGCGTGGGTGATCTGGCCAAATTGTTCAACGATTTGGCAAACTGCAAACAACTTGGGTTTAAGTCGAACTTATGGTAGAATTGAACCCAAATCCCATCCCTATTAAGGACTGGTAAGCTGCAATATATTAAATTTTAGGTTTTGGGTAGGAATGTTCAGATATCAGTGCCGATACCGGGCATTTTCACGAGAACTACCAGGGTTGCAGCGGTTGCAGCTAGGACCGTGCTCTGGCGCTCCACCACTGTCCTGAAATCATTAGTCTGTATTGTTTTAGAAAAACTGTCACATGACACTAAACCAAAAAAAAAGTATCTGTACATGTACTTGTACCAACCTGATGTAAAGGCAAAGAAAGACCACGGGGCCTATTTAAAAAAAGAGCTGCATCATGCCAATTACTCCACACTGGGCAAAGTGCAGTTTGAAATGTGTGATGTTCTGTAGTGTGCTCTCTGCATCATGCTGCAGCTGAATTTTATAGATCAGAGGAGATCGCTGTTATATGACCTGTTAAAGTCATGTCAAAGATTTACATATACCAGAAAGCAGTGCGGTTTTAATAAGTATGGTGAATATAGTACCCAAAGCAACCTCAACAGAGGGACAATCCAGAGACAGGTTGAGGTTCAAGAGTCAGACACCTAAGGGGACAGACGAGCAAATGCCAGAGTCTGAGCAATCAACACATGAATGCTGGCAATTGGTAAGGGGTTGTCTGCAAGCCACCCGTACTAGTATTACCAATTTCCTGCGGCGGGTATTTCACAATACCACCATGGGAGTGTCTCGTGGACCTTCATATACTTTTGAGTGTATGGCAGTTATGGTTCACTGATTTTATAATGTAAAAGGTATCACAGGTGTGTTTACTCCTTCCAGACTCTCCGATTCTGGGCAAGCCATTGGAGAAGTGTAGTCTACCAATGGAGAATAAAGCTGTGGCTCACTGACTGCAGTTATTTGCCTGACTTTTCAGATGAGTTTGTAGGTGCCATGATCTTTTTCTGTAATTATTAAATATTTGACCTGCACCATCAGCAGAGAAATGACCAGAATTTCCAAAACTACTAGATATTCATTACACAAATGTAAGCAAGAACAAATCACTTTGCATTCACCGGCGGGAGGAGGAGGATGTGTTAGAAGGAGAAGGAGTGGGCAGGAGGAGTAGAAGGAGTGGGTGAGATGTGGTAGAAGGAGAAGGAGTGGGCAGGAGGAGTAAAAGGAGTGGGCGGGAGAAGGAGGACTGAGAGGGAGGAGAAGGATGAAGAGGCGGCCTCAGCATTTTTGCCCCCCGCTGCCACCACTACGATTTTCCAGAGAACTGAAGAGGCAAGCCATGCCACCAGAGAGGTAATTGTTTATTTGTATATATGCATATTCATGTAGGAAAATGGTGTGTGCACCTCGTTCTATAACCCTGCCACACCCACTGTTATGCAAAAAAATTAAAATGTATATGGCAAAATCAATTCTATAGAGGTTGACTAACCCTAACCCTTTCCAGGGCAAGGTTTCAGGGTGTTCCCTTCTTCTTGGAAAAGAAAACATCTTGAAAGGTTAACACAAAAGGGACATGACTACCACATTGCAATATACAGTATTTGACTAATGGATGAATATGTAAGAATATATGTGATGCATTACATTCTAGGACATATTTTATTATTTTCTGCAGCTTTAATATCACCCTAGCTGCAATGGTCACCTCCTATGACTGCCAATATGCAATGTTTGCTATAAATGTCTGCCCCATTGATAAATCTGTGCCGCCATATTTTTGATCCAGACAACAAAGCCAGTTCCTACAGGGATACCTTGGAAATTAAGCATCTTTTTTTTAAACCTCAGGACTGACTATTTTTTTTATATGGTACTGAAGCTGGACTACATAGATACTTTTTTTGTTTGGAAAGATGAACTAACGCTTTAGCATATGAAGAATAGGAAGTAAATGCACCACAATGTATGGCATGTTGTTAAAGGAATGCACCACAATGCATGGCATGTGTATTCTGGTGCTCACCTACTGTAACAGTGTGCTGGAGTGTTAATGATTTGATTCAATTAATACATAACTGCATTCATTGTATTATTTGTATGGAGTTCAGCTTGGCTGTTTACAGGCCAATAATCTACTATCCAGCAGTTACATAAAGTCTCTGTAAACAGGGAATCTCCTATGTAGCAGAGCCATAATGAATGAAACCACGACCCGGAGAAACTCCCCGTCTCAGCCATTCAGATAATAAATCCCATCCCTGTATTTTAATCATATTTCTTAAAGAAGGCTGAAGTGTAACACCACATAATTGGAATCTGTCAAAATGTAAGGGATGATTAGAGGACCTTGTGAAGAGTCCACATGTGATGACAGTTTTCCATTTCCACATGGTGACATTAATCCTCGCACGGTCCGGGAGAGGTGAGACAACTCCTTTAATGATTCACATGAGTCGGGCACGTGCATTTGAACTGACCTGGACTGTCTGCTGGCTGGCATCCATGCTGGGCAACTGCCTGCCCTGTTCACCACATCCTTCTATATGGGCCTTCCTAATTTTCTGAGTGGCCCTGGAACTGAAAATGTGGCCCACTGCAAACACTGCCCACTCTACAGTGTGTGCCCACTGCCATCCTGTGTACCCACACTGGAGCATGAGAGGGTGGTCACACAGCTCAAAATCATTTGAGAAGAGGCTGAAGTTTGATTTAGAAGATACATTATATGAGAAGCCTATTAAATCTTACTACAAACAATTCTTTAGTTTTGGATAGTGTGTGAAAGGGTTTTAAAATGTTATTATTTATTTATTTATTTGTTTAATTTTGTATTTA